CGTGTAACTGCTGTCACCTTCTATGTCACCTTGTATCGATTTTCTTGTTCAGGGTCCTGAAATTTTTTTTTTTTCCTGGGAGGTGGAAGAATTAAACATTTTTTCTATATGTCCCTCCACATGAGCTCATACCTTGTAAACACGTGTCTTACTGAGGAGAGGAGCCAGGGAGACCACTGCCTCCTTTCGCCTCGCTGTGCACGTGTCCAGTCACCGTCCTGCCGCCGGCTCAGGCTCCTGCTGTCTGCGGCCTTGGACGGTAAGGAGCTGAGCTGACCTTCCCACTGAGACGCCCTGGGGTCTAAAAGGATCAGAACAATTAATTTATTTGTGTCTTCTGTTATGCTTGTTACCTCTTACCTGTTTTGACAATAAAAATCCTTATTACTTTCTCAAAGGCGGCTGGCAGTGTTTTGTTTTCTTTTTGTCCTGTTAAGAGTTGTGACTCCGTTCTGCCTCCTCGCAGTCGTGGGACCTAAGCATGATACGCTTGGTATTTTCAAAAACCATTGCCTTTTTATTGTATCCTTTTAACATCAGATTTTTCTGTAACACACAATCCTTTTGTTTCTAACCCCCCCGTCATTACATTAGATCTTAATAGACTGGCCACAAAGTCAAATTCTTCAGCAACAGAACAGGTCCGATGCAGGATGCCTGTGTTCCATTAGGGAGAGACGAATGTGTCTTTCTCTTCTGAAACAGGCTGTCAGTACCGTGAACGACATAGCACTGATGTCCAGGATTTGTTCAGCACAGGGATTCTTTTTTCACATCTTGAATGGAAATGTTAAACATACAGTGCGTATAGTATTACCTGTTTCAAAAAAAGTATAGATAAATAATTTATTAAAAAATATATACACCTTATATATTTAAGCCGTCTGAGAACAGGCTAGGATAGGATTATTAAAAAAAAGGATATTTACTAAAGAGTTAGAAAGTTGTTACAGCCTACAGATAAATAAGACAGGTTTGGTCCTGTACGATTTTGAACTACTTTCTGTACTTGGAGGATTTCCAAGCAGCTGGAGATGGAGTTCAGGAGGTATCCTTGGTGCTCAGGGCTCGGCAGGCCCTCAGGGGCTGCTCCAGGGCTTTGGAGAGGGCTCCACATCGGGGTTCAGGTCGGCGGCGTAGAAGAGCAGGAGCTTCAGCAAGTGCACTTTGTCTTGGAGCTGCGGCACCAGCGGCTCCCCCAGCGTCTGGACCAGGCGGCTGCGGAAGGCCTCGATCTGCTTCTCCACGTCCACCACCGTGATGTCGTCTCCTTGCTGCGGCTTCGGCTTAATCCTTTTGATGATTAGGTCTTTTCGGTCGATCACTGAGCTCCGTAAGTGCTCTGCAAGAGGGAAAAAGGCAGCTGAGCCGCTCTGAACTGCTTCCTAGCCTTTACGGCTCTGGAAAGATGAAGTCCAGCTTTGGTGGGCAGGGTCTGGGCAAAGCCTTGCTGACCGGTTACTAGGACACAAGTCAAAGGCTGTGTTAGTGCCCATGGTAATTCCATCTCCAAAAGCTCCTCTGTTCTCGTTTCTCTCTGGACCTCAAGTTTTACATATTTAAAAAAAATTGTATTTCATTTTGGTTTTTTCCCTTTGTTCATTTAAACAATGAACCTATATTAAATAATGAAACTTTATTTCAAATTGATGTAACCACTTGGAAAAATATTCATACGAATATTGAATATCTTCAGGGAGATTTGTTCTAAGTATGTAAAGAGCTGCAAAGAAATACTAAACTTTACTTGGTTAAGTTTGTTGTAATATTGGTTTATTGTAATTCTATTGAAAAGAAACCACTTTGTATGTCTTATAGGATAGACCAGATGGATAAATACATTCGTGTTGTTCAGAATGAGGGCTCTCACTGTGGGAGAAGAGAGGTTCATTTATAGAAGAGAGGGAGGATTCTGTGGGAGTGGAGACTGAGGTAGCAGCATGAACTTACATTTAAACAATACATGCGCAGCTCTGCTGTCACAAAGGGCCTGGAAGCAATGATAGCTGACTGCTGTCCCAGTGGCCACCTGCATACTTAGCACCCAGATCTTGGTTTCTAAACACTATTCCCCACTTCCCACCAAGGAACCGGACATTTTTTGGAGAAAAGGCTGATTCTAGGGCCATGGCAAGGAAATAACAAGGTGCACCTGGAACACCTCTGACAAGAAAGTGAGGATTGAAATGCTCAAGACCTGACGGGGACACGGCAAAAGGTCAAAGAAGTCAGCTTGAAGATCACATTTTGGACGTGATCATAAAAAATGATGACAAAAGTGGATTATAACGCATTGAATTTTAAAAAGCCCTAAATCCATGGTAAATAAAAAGGCGCAGGGAAAAGGGAAAGGTCCTTCTTCCAGAAGAAGGCCAGTTAAGAAATGTAGAAGGAATACGTATCTAGAAAGTGACCGCTTTTCAAGCTACTAAATCGATTCAGGTAACAACCATCGATGAATGCTAAACCATGGAGTGAAAGGCTGAACGGGACATTCAGTCTCACAGTCTGACCCTCTGGATTCCCTACTAATAACGAGAATAGCGGAGAAATCCGATGGACACGCCCTTAACCACATGATCAAACTTAACCAAACTGACGCCACTGCCTCCCGACGCCTGGCGCCGGGCAGGGCTGTGCACCCTCCCCTGCTCGGTGTTCTTGCTGCGCACGAGAAAACAATGGGACAACCTCAGTTATGGGGCGTTCTACAAAATAACTGGTCTGGACCCTTCAGAAGGGTCCATATTATGAAAGACAAGGCCTGGGAGCTATGTCAAATGACAGGAGACAGAGGAGCGTGACAGCCAAGCCCGGTGTATGATCTGACCGAATCCTGGCTCAAACCCGCACACCTAGGAAGGGTATTCTGGGACATAAGAGATGCTATTTTATCAAGGACAGATTTCTTGAGTGGGATAATGGAGAGTGGTACGCAGGAGAATATTCTTATTCTTAAGCTGAAGTATTTAAGCAAGAAGGATTATGACAGCACAACTTACTCTCAATGGGTTCCAGAAAAAAAAAAACAGAAAGAAAAAGTACATAGATCGAAAGATAAAGTAACTGTGGCAAAATGTTACCAGCTTGTGAATCGAGGTAAAGGGTATATAGGTGTACAGGATATTACTCTTTTAACTTTCCTGTGGGCCCAAAAGTAAAATACTGGGGAAAAGTAAAAAGTTATAAAGGTATCTCACTCCACATCCATAGGTCACTCCCAACAAGGTTCTGAAAGTGCCTGGAATTGAGGCCAAGGAGCCCAAGGTCACATAAAAGGCAAATGGACCGAGAAGAGCTCTGCAGACCTGACCTCAGGCGCACTGGGGGTCCCGCCAGCATCAGTTTCTCCGTCTCATTTATAAATGGGGTAATGGCACCTTCACTGACAGGGTTATCGGAAGCACTGAACTACGTGCCCAGAAATTTGGGAAACATAGAATAAACTTATTTATAAGCAAAGTATTAGGTTATATTTTCAGATAAAATGCTTAATATGTTTTTCCTCAACCTTCAAATATGTCCTCAGGTAAAGTCCTTCTAAACGTATAGCAGTGGCCTAACTGTAATCTGAAAAAAAGCACAATAAGTACAGATAGATAAATATGGAGTGTCCCCAGAGTCTGGAAACACAGGAGGCAGAGCTGCCTTGAAGTGTCATTGCAGGGCCCTTTCAGCATTCAGTCAACAAACACGTGCAGTGAGCACCTCTGCGTCTCTGGAGCTGCGCTGGACTTGGGATGCAGTAGGATTAGGGACCTGGCTCGGCCCGCATGGACTGACACTTGAGTGACAGGAAGCCTGACAGTGAACGAGCCAACAAAAACAACCACGGTCTCGGTGAGAGCAATCAAAGAGAGAAATCAGACGCTGGGGAACTAAGGAAGCAGCTCGCTCTAGTCGGGGTGATGGGGCGATGGGGGTGGTCTCAGCTGAGCCCTGGAGACCGAGAAGGAGGCCATCAGGCAAAGGTCCAGGGGAAAGCAGTCCAGGAAGAGAGAAGCGTGCAAATGCCGCGATGGGGGGGCGAAGCTTGCTCTGAGGACAAGAGGTAATCTGGGCAGGCCGAGGGGGAGCAGGCCAAGGGGGACTGGAGCGCAGGCTGGGCCTCAGGGCAATGCGGAGTGTGGTCTCTGAAAGCACAGGGAGGTGACGGAGGGCTTTAGGCGGGGAAACGTGCTCTGTGTCACCTTGCTACTGGCAGTCACAGGGGAACAAAAGCCTTTTAGTGGACTTCGATTTTCTTAAAGCATGTGCTACTCTGAAAAATATAAAAGCGATCTTTTTAAAAATGGAAAGAACTGGCTGAATAGGGTGGCAATAGGGAAGACTTGGGTTGGGAGCAAGAAGAATCTGGAATTTATTAACACAGGAAATTCAAAGCAGCAAATGTTAGCAGTGTCCACCTAGGCACCGTCCAAGAGGGGAGGAAGCCTTGGTCAGTGGACTTGAATCATTCTGGTCCAGTTGGCAACGCCTTCGGTTTAATGCTTCAGCAGGGATGAGAGTCCTTACAGCTGAGGTTCCTGTGACTATTGTGTGAGGTGATTTATGTGAAGGGTTTAGCACAAGGCCTGGCTCAGGGCATCCTGGCCGACAGTATTTTTATTATTAGTTCCTGGATCAAGACCAGGGTTAGTATTACTGTTGAATCATTATCGTCGTCATTACAGGCAGCTCCGACCTATCAGTTGTACTGAGGCCTTCACCTTCTCTGCGCCTCCCATCTATCCCCACGTCAGTAGTGGCAGAAGCCTGGGAGTCACCCTTCAGCCTCGGACACTCAAGCCCTGGGACACTGATCTTCAGATGCTCCTGTTCCACCCGCTGACTTCCCCCCTGCGCCACCCACATCCTCGCCACCGCTACCCCTCCCCCGACCTCTCTGGGCCTCGGCCAAACTATTCGTCACACATCAGGGAGAGTGACCTGACTTAAAAGCACTTTGACAGGTGCCCCTCACTCTGGGGATCAAGCTGAAATTCCGTACCATGGACCCCTCACCAGGAAGGCCCCCACGCCTTCTGCTATCCAGTCTCATGATCTCATCCCGTGCCGGCCCCCCCGGCTCACTGCATCCCAGTCTCACTAGTTGGTTCCATGTTCCTTGGACTCATTAAGCAACCTCTTGCCTCAAAGCCCTTGGACACGCTGTGTCTGTCTTTCTGGAAAACTCCGCCCTCCCTATTTGCCTGGCTAACACCACATCTCAGCTGAAGTATCACCTGGACAAACTGGACTGGTCTTGCCTGAGCCTGTCCTCCCCTCTGCGGACAGGGCTCCCCGAGGCAAGGCTGCGTGTGCGACTCCCTGCGGGATGAACGGCTGTCTGACTTTCGCAGCTGCCCCACGTAAGCAGCCCAGTGGAGCGGATTCGGGAAAAGCATCCATTTTGTCCATTTAAATATCACACGTTTAAATTCCTAGAATTCATAGTTTCAAAATACGAGGTTCTAACTATCCACAAGCATCAGGAAAACCCATGGCACACAGCAATGTGGAACTTTGCTGAGGCTCAAACTTCAGTTGCGTGGCCGTGTGGGGGATGGACTCCCTCAGCCAGAGAATGTGAGCTCGGCTGACAGCCCAGCGCCCGCATCTCAGTGGGGCTGCTCTGCCCTCTATGGAAGCACTGATAAAACGTGGGGGTTCAGGATATACTTCTCCCTGAGGTCAAGGGACTACACAAAACTCATTTAACCATGTCTAGAGAGTTTCGAAAATAGGGGTTGGAAATTTCTTAGAATCTCACCTTCTGATCTCACCCTGTGATTTCATAGGAAAGCAATTCCTTCCAGTGTGTTTTCACTGCGCACGGACTCTGGCAACAGACCTAAGTCTGAACCCTAGCCCTGCATTTACTTTTCTCTCAGCCTTCGTCTGCCCCTCTGTGAAAGCGGGGGTGAGGCCTCCACAAGGTTCCTGGATCCGATACGCCAGTGCACACTGCGGACCCACCCCGTCTTCCTTTTTCTCTTCCTCCGGGCTAAGAGGTTCCCACAAAGGGCAAGCTCGGGCGCCCCCACCTCTCCCCTTCTTCCTCCACACTTGGAGCTGGACGACTCAGGCTGACCTCAGAATTGCACTCAACAATGTCCGCAGCGTCCGCCTGAAGAGGGCAGAGATGCCTAAGGGGCCCTCACGGTGAACCGCCCCCTGACAAGGACCTGCCACTTCAGGGGCCCATTCAGCCGTGTTCTTTGTAGGACGCTGTTTTCAAACTACTGGTTCTAAATGTCTTTTCTCCTTCTTAACTTTTGGTCTCCAAAGAACTGGAAAGGATGTTAAGGAAATACTCTATTTATTTTCGGTCAATATACGTTGGTCTGAGGCCTTCCTCTCTTTATTCAAAGCGGAAGAATCCTCTGTAATAAAAGTAGATCCCGTCCGAGCCCGTCTTAAGTCGCTACCGCCCACGACCCAGGTTATTCCCTGGGAAGCAGAACAGAAACGAGTGAGAAGTATTAAAGGTGAACTTCAGGCAAAAACAAGTTGCTTTAGTATCAAACTTCCTGCTTGATCTCCCAATGAAACAGTTCCATACACCTCAGTGAGGCTGAGGATGCGTGGAATTTGCCTTTGGGGCTTTGTTCTGAGAAGGATGTGCACCTTTCTTGGAGCTAAAAGATGCACAAACCACACAACCACGTGCTGTGGCCTCGACAAAGCTCTCTTTTAAGTTTTAGTTACAAGGACGTGAAACACAGAGGAGATCCTTGTGGCCGACTCCTGGCCAGGCAACAGGCGGACTGAGAGGCAGCTGCCGTGGCCTGAGCATTTCCTACTTTTTTCTCATGCCTGCGAGACATCCACCCGGGTGAGCCAAGCATTACCATCCCTGTTCTATGCAAGGAAGAAACTAGAGACAGATAAAGCTAGCTGCTCAGTGCAGAGTAAGCGGTGGAGTTGGGATTTAAACCCAGACCTTCTATCTTAAATCCAGTGGTTTCTTTTTTTTTTTTTAGTGTTTCTGTAACAGCTTCCTCAGTTCCAGGCCCAAAGGGTGTATGGGCATCTTATCTTCCTAAGTGCCATGGCTAAGCCAAAGTCAGCCTCGACGTGATCATGGCAGGGACATTTTATACACACACACACAGACACACACACACAGACAGACAGACACACGCATACACACACACACACACACACACACTCTTCCCATTTACTGTTTGAGAAGGTTGGACATTGCGCCTCTCTAGGCGTCCATACTGCAGAATGGATTTCCTAAGACCAAGAATATTTACTTTCATAAGCCAAGATAAGTATAAAAAATAGGAAACAATATTAATCCAATACTATTATCTAATCTGTTTTTTTCTATTTACCAATTGCCCCAGTCATCTACTTTACAGCTTCTTTTTTCCTGCTTCAGGATCCCATCCAGGGTCGTGTGTAATACTTACGTGCTTTAGTTGCTTTTTAATCTAGAACACTTCTTCAGCCTTTCTTTGCTTTTAAGACACTGGCACTTTTGAGTGGGTTTGTCTGATACTTCCTTGCGATTAAATTCAGGTTCATGAATTTTTGGCAAGAACACTACGTCAGTGACGAGGTGTCCTTCTCAGGGCATCCCAGCAAGAGGAGTGTCAGTTTTCTCCCCTGTAAACCTACTCTCTTTCCTGATGTAATTAACAATCAGTTTTCCCAGGGGCCTCAATCTTTGGCTAATAAAATCATTCTTAAAATGATCTTGAAGCTGCCATGCCATCATTATCCTTGTCAGTATTTACCCCCGGAGTGTTCATTGTCCAATGCTCCCAGATCCTCACGGACCACCAGCTTGGCCTGTGACTGGAGCAGAGCCACTTGCACAGACTTAAGGGTGTCTTACATCCTTGGCAAGATGTACATCTTTCCCTTGCCGCTGACTTGCTCTGTATTTGCATCATACTGACAGATGTTAACAAACGTCCGTAGTCAGTGAACAAGTGACCCAACAAGGACGCTGCAGTGACGGGCCAGGGAGAGACGCCACATCAGGTCACTACTGAATCCGCCTCACGTCAGGACGACTTTCACTTCCCTCCACGACCTAGCAATTCTGCAGACCTCTGTACTAACCGCCGTAACAAAAATACGGTGTGAACCCTTCTATTTCACGGCAGATTCCAGCTACGTCATTCCTTGTTCCTCACAGTTGCAAGCAAGGAACAGCGCTTTACTTAAGCGAACAAATTAGACTCCCCCGTGTAGCTTTAATTCATAACAATGTCCACTGTGAGACCCTCACACCACCCTGTTTGTGGACAGATGCTCCTTACCTCGTAAAACATGTTGATAACTGGATAACAGAAACTGCAGGTGCTCGACCAGCTCATCCCACATCTGCCACTGGGTTTTATCCGACTGCGGAGATAATAAAGGCTGTTGGCAATGAATGCCTTCCTTAGCTAAAGGTTTTGTACAGTTTTCACGTCACTTTCACGTGATGCTCAGGGCCTAGGGAAAAGGTGCTCTGGGCTTGGAGCTGAAGTAGGGGAGAACGTTACCTGGCACTTGAGCAGTGATGTGGAATTGTTCAGAAAATAGAGGGCCTGGGCCAGAGACAAGGGCAGGCGGGTGGGAGTCTCGCAGCTGTGCAGGAATATGATTTCCAGCACCTTGCAGCGCAGGAGGTGGCTTTCCATGGTCGTAAAGAACATCTCTCTGCGTGGAGAAGACACAGAGTTCACCATCACAACTATTAGTTCAGAGAACAGGTACCACAGATCCCCCCCCGGGCTTCACCCTTTGCCCAAAGACAGAGGAGGAATACAATGAAGGCCTACAAAACCACGAAGCTTGTGGCCAGAGCAGACGGGGCAGACAGCTCATGAATTAACCACTGCCAGGAGGAGGGAAGGTCTCTGACATTTAAAAAAGACAAGTTTAGGACATTGAAAAGAACTGCAGCATACTGTAATCAACAGGATTAATCATGGGATTAAACATTTCTAAATGCCCACAATGTACCAGGTACTGTTTGGTACAAACAAGGACTGTTAAGATAAATAAAAGAGCGGATTACTCTCAAAAAGCTGATATTTGAACAGAAGCAAGAAGTAGGCAAGGGGAACCCATATAAAGTGCAGGGCAACCGGACAGGTAGGCGACGTGCCTGTGGTGCCTGAGAGACACCAAGGAGAGAGCACATTTGGTCAGAGGGCCGGAAGCAGCTGTGTTACGGAGGAGGATGCACTGGGGACAGTGGCCTGGGAAGAGTAAAGAAGGCCCAAGGCAGGAGGCACTTCAATGGAGGGAAAAACCTGGGCAAAAACAAAGAAGTGAAAAATAGACAGTTGGGCCACTGCAGCTTTCTTAAATTTCAAGTCCAGGACTTAAGAGTCCCAGAGGAACCCTGGCCCTTGACTTTGTCACTCTGCGCAGCGCAGGGCTTGGCCGGCCAGCACGGGCGGGTTGGAGCACGTTCAAAGGAGCGTTTATAGCAGGAGAGCCATCAAGCGGGGACTGTGCTTGGGGAGGTGAATTAAACTCAGTGTTCTAAAAGCAATGTCAGCTCCAAAAAAAAAAAAAAAAAAAAGGTATGACTCTCAGATGCATACGGTGCATCTCTGGACGGCCTGGAGGTTTTTGCCTGAAGACCTGTTGGGTGGTCCTTGCCAGGTCCGCTGGTCTCAGCAGTCCTGAGGGGCAGACAGCTCGCGAGCAGTGAGGAGGGGGCAGTAAGAGGAAGAGCAGGATGTGCCCGGTCCACCAGCGGCAGAGCCAGCCCCACACCTAAGAGTTCCTTCTTCTACAACATCCTACCCCTTTGCAGTTTTGCAATATCTGGAAAAACAGGGGATCTTTGTGCCACTTTCATTTATAAAAACAATAAATAACAAAGTATCCATTCATTTTTATTTTCTTTCTTCCCTTTCTCTTTGCTCTTCCACCAGGCACATATATAAAAGCAAAGTCAAAAAGCAGAAAAAACATTTTTAAACCTTTGCTTCTTACTATTCAAAAGTTTAAAACAGTCTACACTATTTATGAAAATCCACTTTATCGCTTTAATGTGTTTAAAAAATACTATTCTATATCTTCTCTGACAAATTTTGCTCTTTAATGAAAAGGACTCCAAATTATTACAGTTGTAAGATAGTCCCCAAATTCCTACTTTGCATTTGGCCTATTACTCTCATAAGACAGTTCTCCTATTCAATAACCTTTTTATCTCAAACTGTATTTTCTCTTCCAATATTTATTCCAGGGCCTGCATTTGTCCTGGTTTTATAGTCCAAGATGGCAAACCCAGAGATATACAGAAGACAAGAAAGTAATTTTAATGTTTTGGTAGGAAATGGAGGTACAGTTATCTATAGCAATTCAAATTCTAATTTTAAAAACAAGATACCAACATGCAGGAAGGCCAACATCCAGATTCAGCCTTAACAAGAGTCGCTGGTATTGGATTTACCCTCCTGTCATCAACAATTATTAATTTTTTTCAAAAAATCAGTTTTTTTAATTTGAAAAATTTTAATGATTTAAAAAAATTGCAGTATAGTCAATTTATAATGTGTTAAGTTCTGAAGTACAGCATAGTGATTCATTTATATATATGTGTGTGTATATATATACACATATTCCTTT